TCAGAGTCCAGAGTAGACGGGAGGAGTTCAGAGATTGGTCAGCTCTCCCAATGGTGATAGTTGCCATGGGTGATTCTGCCAGTTATAGATGGCAGAGGTCAGTATGTGAGCTGGTGTCATCCTGATCCCTGGATCTGGCCAGAAATGTAGGCAGTGCGGGAAAATACCTTGAATTGGAATGGGAGCCATGGAAGTACCCAAAGGTTCACGTTTGCACATCAATGTGATTCCAGCAGAGGGATGTCAGCAGAGTGATTACATTACTAGGCCTAGTAATATTAACTGTGCACTCCAATCCACCCACCCTCCCTCCACCACCACCAACACCACCACCACAAGAAAGAAGAGGCACCTGAATAACATCAGCTAAGTGCACGGTAAGTCCCTTTTCTTTCTTCCTTACACCGCTGACCTCTGCGCGTCACGCTGACCTCTGCGCTGTGCGTCACGCTGACCTCTGCGCTGTGCGTCACGCTGACCTCTGCGCTGTGCGTCACACTGACCTCTGCGCTGCTGACCTCTGTACTGTGCGTCACACTGACTTCTGCACTGTGTGTAAACACTGATCTCTGTACTGCTGATCTCTGTACCGTGTGTCACATCGCTGGCCACTGTATTAGGCATTGCACCACTGACTGTGCCTGTCAGAGTGCCTGTGTTGTTACTGATCTCTGTACTTTGCGTCACACCGCTGACCTGGCGGATTTAAGGCCGGGTAGTGTTGGGGTTAGGTGGGGCAACTGGTGGCGAATAACTTTTAAGGCCTGGCTAGTAGCTCAGGACTTGAAATTTTGAGCCCTGGTTTAAAGAATACATTACATAAAGCCATTACCAAGTGCATACCATTGGGTAACAAAAATAAAAGATTGAGAGCTAAACCTGCATGGCTAAATAAAACGACAAAACAACACATCACAGACAAGAAGCTGGCATTTAAAAAAGATAAGATGGAGGGGACGGCATTGGCATTCCAGAGCTACAAGGAATGTAATAAGAGATGTAAACACCAAATCCGTGCAGCTAAAATAGATTACGAGAAGCATATCGCCACAGTCAGTAAAAAGAACCCCCCAAAAATTCTACCAATATCTAAACAGTAAAAGGGTAAGAAAAGAGCAGGTCGGCCCATTAAAAGAAGAGAACGGGAGATTAATCACAAATGACCGGGAGAGGCCTGAGGTGTTAAATTAATTTTTCTTCTCAGTATACACTCAGGAAAAAGACGGGTTTAATGGAGATAAGAAGGTGAGTAGCTCAGTGCGCAATATACCGCAGTGGTTGATGGTAACGGGGGTTACACAAAGACTAGAAAAACCTAATGTGTGTAAATCTTTAAGACCAGATAACCTGCATCCAAAGGTACTTAAAGAGCTCGGCCATATTATATTGGGAGACCATTATTCCTCATTTTCAATGACTCCATAATGACTGGAAGGGTACCAAGTGATTGTTCTAAAGCTACAGTGTACCAATGTTCAAAAATTGGAGGTATCTGCATTTTCTACACGTCAGTTTACATGTGCCATTGTATATTCTTCTATATAAGTATCTTCAACTCATCTATTGTTTACTTACCATCAATTTTGTGTATTCTCATTACTTTTTTATTATTCAGTAGCTATCATTTTATAGGAGCATTTTATAGGGTTTATAAGAGGTTTTGTGATTCTTATTCTTCTGCCAGTGTTTTAAAGTATATACATTGTATCTTTTTTTTGTACAATCCTCTCCTGTTTTATAAAATACTTTCTTGGGTATATGGCTCCTCTAGAGGCGCCCTATTAGAATAGCATGCACTTCATCATTTCAGTTTTATCAATAAGTATTTATTTTAATAAGTAATTACTTTGAAAGTGTTATTAGGCATTTAGTTGGTTTCCTTCATTGGGAATATTGTGCTTATTTTATTCCACCAATGCATTTGAATCCACTGTTATTGTAATAACCGAAACCACTATTTGCTATATATAAAGTCCCCTTACAGTTCTATCACAAGGGCTAAGGGGTGGAACCCCAAAACACACCATCATAGCAACATTTCTTGAGAAATTGCATCCCTTACTCAAGGCCACCCAGGTAGCCAAAGACGCTGCACGTGTATACCTATGAGCGGGTCTTTAGCAGTGGGTCTTATTCCTTCATTTAGCCCCACCACAGTCTGTTGGGCTTGATGCTGCTGCTGTAGCCCCCCCAAATTGTCTCTGTTGTACTGCTGACTGGCTACTGTAATGTGGGTGGTTTTAAGAAATTTGTGATTAAATCGTCTTTTAATGAATAAGGTTGTCCCCTTGTTCTGTTCCTGTAAATAAATAAACATACATGTGACTTACATTTCTTTCATGTGACTAGAATTAAATGTGATAATAAAACTAGGGATGCTCTGTCACCCTCTAAAGTTTTGGTAACATTTGTTTTTGTGGGCTTGGGTGGCCTTTCGACCAATCCAGGACTTCATTTAGCTTTACAAAAGGCTTTCTTATATAAAAAAACTCATTACTTTTTTATTATTCAGTAGCTATCATTTTATAGGAGCATTTTATAGGGTTTATAAGAGGTTTTGTGATTCTTATTCTTCTGCCAGTGTTTTAAAGTATATACATTGTATCTTTTTTTTGTACAATCCTCTCCTGTTTTATAAAATACTTTCTTGGGTATATGGCTCCTCTAGAGGCGCCCTATTAGAATAGCATGCACTTCATCATTTCAGTTTTATCAATAAGTATTTATTTTAATAAGTAATTACTTTGAAAGTGTTATTAGGCATTTAGTTGGTTTCCTTCATTGGGAATATTGTGCTTATTTTATTCCACCAATGCATTTGAATCCACTGTTATTGTAATAACCGAAACCACTATTTGCTATATATAAAGTCCCCTTACAGTTCTATCACAAGGGCTAAGGGGTGGAACCCCAAAACACACCATCATAGCAACATTTCTTGAGAAATTGCATCCCTTACTCAAGGCCACCCAGGTAGCCAAAGACGCTGCACGTGTATACCTATGAGCGGGTCTTTAGCAGTGGGTCTTATTCCTTCATTTAGCCCCACCACAGTCTGTTGGGCTTGATGCTGCTGCTGTAGCCCCCCAGGAACACACATTGGAACACACAATGATTTTAAAAAAAACTTTGTTTCAGACCCCATCACCTAGTTCTCTTTTATATAAGGTCTATTATATTATGAAAATGTTAAGTACAATGTTATTTCTTTACTATCATCACATGATCAGCCTTATTTCTCCAGCACATAACACCCCCAGCCCATTTAGATGTTCAGTAACTCCCAGGTAAGTACATTTTAAGACATTGCCGGAGTCACCGTATTTAAAAGTCTACATATAATATGAACCCAAGCTCTGTGCAGACTTGAGGGAGAGGCTGGGAGCCATTTACTGGGGGTGAGTATTCTGGGAAATCCTGTCTACAAAGTGAAAACAATTACAATGGCTGCAAAGAAAGAATATTGACAATTTTCAGCAGTTAAAACAATTCTCGCTAGCTGTAAATAGAAATGCAAAAACAATTTTCCATATAATGAAACTTTGAAAAGATTTGTATTGAAATAACACAGAATAAATATTTTTTTTTAAACAAACCAGCAGATTTCATTTAATCATACATAATGATTGACATCTAGAAATTCACAATTCTATCTAATGACCCTCCATATTGTTTGGCCAATGGGCAGAGAAATCTGTATGGTGGTAGTAAGGTCTGCCAGAGGTGAATAAGGAGGGATAAAGACCAGAAGCCATTGAGACTATTCCTCCTGACAGAGTAATGTTTAATTCAGGGCAAGTGCTGTATTAGGAGACTTCATTGAAAACAAACAGTCCTTAAAGTGTAACTCTTGGCAAAATACAAAATGACATACCGGTATATGTTGCAGTATGTTAGTAGCATTAAAGGGAAATTCATAACCCTTGCACTGGGGATTCCCCCACACCGCAAGGGTCAAATTCAAATTTTCGTCTAGGGGAACATTAAAAAGTAGATTTATTTCCCTTACCCCACGCTCCTCCAGCTGCTGGTTCTCTCCTCTTCCCTCTAATGCTCTGGGTTGTGGGCGGGCCCTCAATGTCCTCACTTACAATGCAGGAATGTTGGTCCTGCATCATATGTGATGGCGTCAGAGTGGCTGCAACTGACAGATCACCGAAGAGAAGCGGCTTCACCAAGGAGACCTGGTCCCAAACTGAGCCCCTCAGAACCAGGAAGCTACATGGGACCATCCGTGGCCACCAAGTGGATGATTCTCCCGCTGGCGCCCAATAAGACTTTCCCTTTCCCGCAGCCCTGGCAATATTAGATCAACATCACTGACCAAGTATAGTCATGTGGTCATACAGTATAAGGTCAATCACATCCTATACATCTTACCCCATTGCTTACGTGTAGCTGCAGACAGGGAATTCCCCGGCCACAGCTGATTGAACAGCAGCTTCCTCCTGTATTCAGAGAAGCTCACATTTAGACCGGGTTAGCTCTGAACCTGAGGTCATCCCTACTTACAACAGTCAGCATTTGTTTACATGGTTTAGGCATTTTCTTTACCATAAAGGAAAAAAAGCTATCACTGTAATTGCTTAAACAAATATAAGATGGATCTGAATTTTAATTTGCTTGTCTCCTACTAAGACTTTCCCTGCCCCACAGCTGCACATAAAGAGGAGGGATACTTGTGCTGATGTCTTTGACCAAATATAGCCATGTGGCCATATAAGGTCAATGATGTCCTCTGCATCCCACCCCATTGCTTATGTGCAGCTGCAGGGAATTCCCTTGCCATAGCTTATTAAATGGTAGCATGTCTCAGGTTCGGGCCAGGTTCGCTCTGACCCTGAGGTCTGACCCTGAGCTCTTTTATTTACATAGTTTAAGCTTTTTCTTTACTAGAAAGGAAAAAAAAAAACTATCACTGTAATTGCTTAAAAACATATCAGCTGGAACTGAATTTTAATTTACTTGTCTTCTACTTCGAACTACATGTCAATTGAAGACTACCTTGTCCACAGGGTGTCATCGCTGCTGCGCGATTTCTCAACGTTGACGCTCTGTTAAAGGAAGTGGAAAGTAAGAGATCTATCTGCAGAATCAACAGCTAATACAACTATGTTGCAGGGGCTTTGTTAATGCTACAGACAGACTGCCTCATATACAGTATGTCATTTTTTATTTTGCCCAGAGTTCTACCTGTAAAGGAAGCTGTCGGTGCAGAAATATCGGAGCTTCCATTGCAGAGGCAATCTGAGGCTCAGAGGTCAGAACAAATACAACACTTTCAATTGGGTATTTAACAGATCATAAAGGAGAAGTTAATTGTTTGAACATTTTTAATTATCACAATGAATGAGTTCTTGAGTGGAGATCCCTGAAGATGAGCAGACAGATCCACACACACAATCTGGGGAGGAATGACATGTTGCTCATTTTAGTTTCTGGCTTTTCTGCAATTAGCTTTCATTGAAGACTTTCTTTAAACTTTCCAGAGCTTGTTCTTTGGTGATGTTTTTCCAGCTGTCAGGTAGATTTGCTGGCCTTGCATTATATTCTTTAGCAAACATCATATTAAACTGCGCAAATATGTATTTCCAGTAATCTGAGGATTCAATGCTGGGATCTGGTTGTATGGACCAATCTGGAAAGTATGTACGATACTCCTTGAATGGGTGTGGTTTGCCTTTTGTTTCTAAATTTCTAAATCTAACATCAGATACAACAGAAGAGCTACATATATTAGTTGACAAGTCTCCACTAAAAAGCCATCTGTATCTCCCCAGTCCTTCAGGTCTATGGATAGTGGCAAAGTGCTCCTTGTGTTCATCACCTCCGGCCTCACAGGGTACTTTACAGAATGGACATTGCTTCCCGCAGCCAACAACCTTCCTGAACAATTCATCCTGAGGCTTCATTGTCACCCTGGAGAGTACAGACTTTATATTCATAGATTGCAGCTCTGACAAGATTTCTGATTCTGTGTCTTGGAGGAAGAGTTGAATATCAGAAGAAAATTGGCCAACGGCAGCCTTGTTCTGGAAAGTGACCAATTTTAATGCAGAATGGGGAATCACTAATAGGTTTTTTAGCCCCTCACACACACTCTTCAGAAACCTCTCAACAGATGGAGATTTAAGACTTTGGTCTTCCTCAAGAGCTGCCTTTACTTCCTTGCTCACTTCAAGGAGAATATTCTCTTCTAAGGTTTTCAGGGTTTGCGCATTAGCATATTTGTTTTCAATGTAGTTCAGTATCCAGTCTTTGGTATATTCTTCATAGGAGCCAATATATTTGAGGTATTCCTGGAATGACATTTTTTCCAGCAACATCTTCAGCAGAAAACTTTGAAAAAAGGTTCTGCTACTGAATTTCCTATTGCCTGAACTTTGCATGATGTCATCTACAATTTTTTTTCCAAGGTGCTTGAAAACATAATCCTTCATGGCTGCTTTAAGGCATTGCTCACAAAACTCTTTGGCCTTAGTCTGACATATGTCTTTCTCCTGAAATGTGTTGATAAACGTTGATAAATACTGAGGCTTCAGTTTCTCCAGACACAGTTTTGGGTCGTTTTCTTTAATGAACTTGTCGTGTATCACCTGAAACTCTCCGGATGCTCTTGTAAGAATGTGGCACTTGATATCCAATTCAAAATGTTGGGAGTAGTTGAGATTTTTGGATTCTTTGGTCAGCTCCGTGTTGCTGATGTGAAGTATTTCCTTGCAGTAAGTGTCATTATAATCTTCTGCAGTTTGCGCCTTCTCTCTGACGTATGCATCACACTTAGATATTAGCCAAGCCGAAAATCGTTTAATTTTTTCATAGGGTTCATGGCTCTTAGCGCCAATGAATCTCTGGAGCAATCCATCTTTGATATATTTTTTATCTATTTTAAATTCCAGTTGCACGGTCTTGTCTAAGTCCTTCATGAGTAATAATTCTTGGACAGCTGATCCTTTATTACTCATGTCATTGATCAGTTCCTGTAGCATAGATTTACTAACAACTCGTCTTTCTATTTTCTCTATCTGTAGATCAGCCAGGGTCTTCTCCCACATCTTGTCAAATTCCTTCTGTAACTCTTCATCGCTTAGCTTCTGATTGTTCTTTGCGCTCACTGTAAGGAGAACTGTGATCTTGTCTTCAATTGACTTCTGGGAGTTACACTGCATATTCTGAATCTTCATCTTTCCTTTTTGGATAGAAACAACCTCTTCATATTTGCCAAGAGCGTTTCTTTCCAGTTTTTTCTTCAGCGACTTAATGCTCAAAACGAAATCTTCCTTGTAACGTTCTATCAGGTGAACGTTTTCCTGTTTATTTTCAAAATAGTTTTCGAGCAAATCCAAACTTTTTTCTTCTTCACTGAGACACAAACTTTTCAGCTCATTCTCGAATGTTAAATGCCGTTCATGAGTTAGACTTTCTGCATTCTCGTTCCTAATGTTTGTCTCTGCGCAGATCATCCAATCACTGACGGCTTTTTGGAAATCCCATTCCCATTGTGAGTACTGTATAGACAGTTTGTTGTAAGCGTCCGCCACCAGGCTGTTTCTGAAACTGAAGATGAACTTCTCGTGTTTAACAGCAGTCCATAAACTTTCTATCCATGTTATAAATTCAGGGATGGTTAGAGGCCTGTGCAGTGACCTCTTGCATTTCACGAAGTCCAATAAATGTTTTTTCAATTCAGACACATGCTCGCTGTACCCAGAATTTATTGAAGCCATCGGTGGGACCCCAAGCCAAAGCCCAGGAATGTACCAGTTGTCTTTCTCCAGGTTGTAGTCCATCACATCACTGAAATGGTTTTATCTCGGTTTTCTCTTCCATCTTAGAAGCTACTTTTGTCATTTCATCCAGCTGTTCCAGAAGTTTCTTCCGGTCTCTCATGTTTTTATTATGAGCTGACACATCACTCACATTTTGGTGTACAAACTGGCAGTTGGGTTTCTTCCCAACTTCTTTCATTCTCAGAAATGCATGGACCACAATCTGTAAAATGTCCTTCATTTCTGTTGTATTTTCCATGGCCATGTTAATTATTGAGATATCACTCAACCCAACAACCAGAGTGGCCAGTTCATTGTCATGTTCATAGCTTCCTTCCAAAGAGGCCAACTCTGGAGCTTTAAGACCCTCAGTGTCAATTACTAGGATGAACCTACAGCCCAATTCCTCCTGGAGGTTTTCTTTCACATTCAAAAGAGTCATAAAGGCTCCTCGTGTACATCTTCCACTGGCCACCGGGAACTGCAGACCAAACATGGTGTTGAGAAGAGTAGATTTCCCCGTACTCTGCACTCCCAGCACTGTGATTACTCTTATTCTGCATTTTCTTCCCATTTTGGTGTCTAGCTCAGTCAGGACATCAGTAATCCATTGTAGGGGGATACTGGAAGCATCTCCATCTATCAACTCCAATGGGAACCCATCCATCAAGAGGTCGGAAGCAATTCCTGGCAGCCCAGTAAACTGTCTATGTTTTTGAGCTATTTTATTTTTTTTAAGCATAAAATATTCGGCCTCATAATACTGCCCCATCTCACGGAGGAAATGTTCAATTCCTAAAGAGCTGTCGGAGATTTTTTGGTCTGTCCTTTTAAGCTCTTCCTTATTAATTGTCTTGTCGTTACATTTTTCTTTGTATAAAGCTTGAAGTTCAGAAAGATGTTCTCTAGTAATTGAGTCGAGTTCAATTTTCATCCATTTCAAGAAATATTGTTTCCCAGTTTTAGAGAGCTGAGTGAGCGCGTCAATAAAAAGCATTATACGGTGAGACAGATCATGCTTGCTTCGCTTCTCACGTATTGAAGAATGTTTCTGTGTCAGTGCATCTTGATACTGATGTGTATCTTTGCCCCCTTGGTTTTTCATTCTGGAAAGTTCCTTTTCTACTTTGGAAAGGCGTTTCCAGAGATCTCCTTGTAATATCATTGTGCTTTGTTTGTAATCAGCAACATCTTTTATTTCTTCTGTTATGCTGCTGGCAAGTTCTCTGGCTTTCTGGCATTCATGATCGCTTTCGTCTACATGGATTTTGAATCTTATTGCTTCCTTCCCTAGATCTGTCATAATAATTCTCTTCATGTTCTTGTGTAAGAAATTTACCATACTGCTTTGAAGTTTGCCTACAAATGCTGCATCATTTGCCTTGCCTGCGTATAATATCACATTTGATTTTTTTAACTTGAGAACTGGACTTAAGTTTTGAAGAGTCTCCAATGTCTGCGTACTTACTGTTTTCCCAGGACCTGGAGTAACGATGAAGTAATACTTGGTGTCAGTGTTGCTGCAGGATGATAAGAGTCTGAATTCTTCCTCAGAAATACTCTCAATGAATATAAATACAGCTGATGAAACTCGAGTGAGAAACATGAACTGGTCCCAGTTGGCCTCCAGGTCTCCTCGTAGGTTGGCCACTGCGATGGGCTCGGGGAAAACATCAGACTTACCACAGGGAAAATACCAGGACATTTCCACCAGTCCATCAGACATTTTCCTCTTGAGGTTTCCTCCATCCATATTGTCATGGATGAAGAAGTTGTTATGTAGCTGAACTGGATTCAGAACTTGATTTAGGGTTTTAGATTTTGACAATTTAGTTTTTCCCAGCCGGACAAAGGAGTAAATCGGCATAGGTACATTGACCACATTTTCTTCCTTAAACCCTTTACTGTCAGCTAGTGACTGAGGTCTCCACTTCTTCACAATGTCCCTCATTGCCCAAAGCATGAAGGTGCAGTGTGACCCGTCACCAGCAGGGAGCAGCAGAGGGACAGCAAACTGACACATGGCCATTTTGGTTACAATCTCTTGTTGTAAAAAACTGCCTGAACAATGCAGGAGGACGCACAGGACATCAAGGGGGTGAATGAAATTTGAGGAATTAGTTTCACCCTGAATAGAAAAGGCATTAAATAGGTTATTGTCATCATCATCATCATCAACAGACTGATCTTTGTCAAGCAATATCTCTCTAGCAGTTTGATTCAAGGCCATGAGTTTCCTTAAGTAATTCCAAGGAAGATCCTCTACAGTTTTAGCTGGCTTGTCATGAAGATTCTCTAAGTCAATGCTCAGGACATCCCTCAGGGTCAACTTCGAAGTCAGGTAGGGCTTCATTTTCATGGTTTCCACCAGACCAAGAAAATTACTTTTCCTTGAAAGAAACCCTGAAAGTAAATAAATGTATACTTTCACAAATCCTCTCTATGTTAAGGTTTATCATTTCCAAAAATGTAAGATAGCAGACAGAGTTATTTAAATTCAGGATAAAAAAATCCATTAAAACGTATGTAAAGCCAAAATCTATTCTTACTTGAATTTGTAGACAGCATGGGAAGGGTAAAAACTAGGTACCGATATTTTGATTTCGGTACTCACCAATAACGAGCACTGATACCGGTGCCTCTGCTGGTATGGGGCTGGCTTCCTAGGCAATCAGGAAGCCGGACAGCAGGTAATGACATGCCGGCCAGCTTCCTGATCGCCCGGGAAGCCGGCTTCATGTTGTTTGGTCGGCTTGATTGTGATTGGCCGGGAAACCGGCTCCCCAGCCAATCAGCATCGAGCTGGCAAGTAATGACCCACCTCCCGACTTCCTGATTGGCCCGGGAAGCCAGCTCCATGCTTATTATCTGGAAAGCCAATCAGCAAGGAGCTGGCTATTCGGTCGGCTCCAGGCTGGTTGGCCAGGAAGCCGGCTTCCCGGTCAATTAGCATGGAGCCTGATTCCCGGCCAATCAGGTTCCCCTACGGCACTGCCAGTCAGAGGAAATCTTCCTCTGACTGGAAGTTCCAGTATCCGGGAGGGTATCAGAGCATTTGAGCGAGTAAGAGTACTCACCCAAATACTGGGTATCGGCACCGATACCGATACTAGTATTGGTATTGGTGCATCCCTAGTTAAAACCTCTATCATGTTATTTCTGTGTCTGTTTGGGGAGATTTGCCTTTGCTTCCTGTTCTAGGGACATCAGGGACCCGGCTATTGCCTTTGAGATGCCGGTCATGTCACTGTGCCTTACCCTTTCTTCTTGGGAAAACTGGGTGCTCAATATCACATTTCAGGAGCACATTCTCTTGGGATTTCGAGCCCCAGTTTATGTCCAGTTGATATGTTGCTATTTTTCCTATATCTTCAAGTTCTCCTTTAAGATATAGTCTTCACAAAAGCCTGAGTTTGCAATAAAACGTGGTGGTCTATGTTGGCACACGCTCATGACTATTCTTTATATGTGGTATTTGAAAATTAATGGTATGTTAATGCATGCAAATTACTGTTAGGTGTTTTCCATTGGTGGACCAATTACAATATTAACCATGTTTACACCCTTACATCCCTCGATGAAGTCTAAACAATGTAAAATTGTCGGGCAGAGGAGGATACATCATTCTACTGAAAACCACTGCACATCTGCGGCAAGTTTCCTTCTAGTCTGAAATTCCGAGTATATATAATTATCAATTACTAGCAATGTATTGATGAAGGTAACTCACCTTCCAAGTAGTAAGACAAATCACGCAAGGCTGGAAACTTGAGATCCATATTCTCAAGATGATCCAGGAACGTCTCACAGGCCGGCTCTCCCTTCTGTAGAATGAGGTCTATCAATCTCTCTGTTCTTTCTACATCTCCCTCAGTCCTGTACAGGTCTATATACTCCTCATGGGATAGGAGTCTGAGAGATCCCACTTCATCATACAAGACATCCACATTCTCTGCAAACACTTGTGTTAGTTTTCCTCTCAGGTGTTTAATGGTTTGTGATGCTTTCCTGGTGGAATCCATGATGTCTGATAAAGAATATAACATGTCAATGGTCAGTATACTACAAAGTTGGGACACTGTAAAATCTACAGGCAGTCCCTGAGTTACCCTGTTTCCCAGAAAATAAGACCTAGTACTATTCTTGGGAATTTCTAACATATAAGACCTACCCCGAAAATAACACCTAGTTGTGACTATTCCCAGGGCCGATGGTAGCATAAGGGGGAATTAAAGGGCCACGGGAGAGGCGGGAGAGAATCAGCTGTGCCAAAGAAGCCGGCGCCAGAGGAAGCGAGGCGGCACCGGAGGGAGCAGAGCCGCATAAGCTGATGCCTCCTCTATAGCGCCGGCTCCTGTCACTGGCAGAGTGATACCAAATGCACTCCGCCTGTGAGGAATCGATAGTGAAAGTGCACTTTGCTCATTCTGACCAGCGATTGGTTACCAAATTGCTCTTGGAAAGGTACGGCACCCCCTGATTGCCCTGATTGCACCCTATTCTTAACTTTGCCATTTTGGATTATTTAATTTGGATTTGCATTCATTTTGGATTGTTGTACATTAAAAAATAAGACCTTCCCCGAAAATAAGACCTAGTGTGTTTTTTTTTTTAAACAAAAAAATTATAAGACAGTGTCTTATTTTTGGGGAAACGCAGTACATACATCAGACTTACATTCAACTCCTACGTACAAACAGAGGCTTTTACTGTACATCAGGGGTAGTTGTAATGCTACAGCGCTCGTGCCGACGAGGAGTGCCCGCCTTTTTGGGTCTGGTTTGTATGTACATTACAGGAAGTTGGCTCTTGTTAGATGTGCAGAAGGGGGGGGGGGTTCCTATGAGGTTTTTACTGCTCTCTGTATCCTCATTAGAAAGATTTCATCTCACTTCCTGTCCTCGAGACAATAGGAAGTGAGAGGAAATCTACCCCTAGGAAGGGAAATTCACTCCTGTAAGAGTGATCATGAGAAAAAGGTGTCTCCACTGAAGCTTTATCACCAATCCTTGTTTCCACGACAACCCAAAATTTTCTAAATCCAATTGTCACAGGTACAGAAAGTGAGGTGAAATCTCCTAAACAGGGACACACACAGCAACACAAACTTTACAGGGGGGGTAAACCCTTCCCTATGCTATCCAAAACAAAAACCCAAAACAATTTGGGCTGAATGTACCTGTTCTAACTTACATACAAAATTAACTAAAGAACAAACCTACATCTATGTAAGTCCCTATCTTGTTCGTAACCCGGGGACTGCCTGTATATAAAAACAGAATGCAATGATCTGCTAATCTCATAATGCTGTATTTTATTCACAGTAGAAAATAGAAAACATATCAAATGTTTAAACTACTGAGAAAATGGACCATTTTAAAAAAATTATAATAATAATTTGGAAATTGAAGTGACGGCAGCAACACGTCTCAAAAATGGCAACAAAAAGCTGGTCAAGAAAGAAGTACTAACAAGGAAGAGCTGGAAGAACATTTGGCAACTAATTAAGTGAATTGGCAACAGGTCAGTAACATGATGGGGTATAAAAAGAGCATCTCAGAGAGTCAGAGTGACTCAGAAGAAGGGCCGAGGTTCAGCAATTTGCGTCTAAAAATTGTCAATTTCAGAATGATGTTCCTCAATGTACAATTGCAAAGACTTTCAATATATTATCATCTCCATTACATAATGTCATCAAAGGATTCCGAGAATCTGGAGAAATCTCTGTGGTGATATGAGAAATCTTTATATCTATGGGCAGTTAAAGATTTAAAGGTCACAATTGTAAGTCATCAGCTGTCACAATGTATTTTCCCTGATGAAAGAGATACATGCAGCTCAATGACAGAACAAGAGAGAGAGTTTTCACTATATATTGTCATTGTGTCCTTTAACGACCATCCAATGCACCCAATGGCACTGGAGGAACTATGTAACTCCTTTTAATGAAGTGATACGAGTCTCATAAACAATACAATGTTACTACACACACGAGACAAGTTTAAAGAAATGCAGAATGGAAACATTTTACCAATAAATGATACAACTGGAGGACCTTACCCTGGGAGAGAAGGATTGACCTCCAGATGGGCTATATTGTCCCCGCGCCGGGTTCCATCACTCTGGGAAGTTGGGGCAATTCTGATTTCGTCTTTCAGAGCTCACTTTATATAGAACATCACAAACACATTGTCATTTCCTGACCTATAACCAGCCCACATTTATTATATAAGAGAGTTGTTGTGTTTTATGCTCCCTGTACCAGATTATTTAGATTTTAGGATCTCTAGAAGATATAATACTTTAACCCCAAATATAGACATTAATTAAAGCTGAACTCCAGGCAAACAGCTAAATACACAACTGAAATACATATATGGGAGCTGACTTACCTGCCAAAGGATTTGTATCTCTGTCCATCCAGTTCTGAAGTTTACACAGCACAGTCCTGTCTGGCAGGGTAGGAGACCTGATTTCCTCTGCTGCAGTTTCACTTTTACTTACAGGCCTCTCCCTATCCCCATCTTGTGACTTGACAGTGAAAGAAGTAGAACCCCGATGAGAGCATTTCACTGCCGCTTTGCCCTGCTGTGTGTGTTTTATAGGTGCCTTGAGCTCAGCTTTAAAGAAAAAAAATGATTATCCTTGCAAAAAAGGAGTTCTCCAAGTTGTGGATTTCCCTTTTTTTTTCCAACAACGGATGATCCGTGCTAATCACACTGTCAAGCTTCTATTATGTTAATTTTGCTCAATGAACATATTATAAATTGTGCTTTATATTTAAGTCTGTATTTATATAGTGCACAACTATATAGTGAAACCATCATATATACACATAATACATGTATAATGAGTTGTATGAATAAGCAACATGTGGAACATTTAGCTTTTTATGTCAAGGTTAACTAGAGTTCATGTAAAACATTTAACTTTGTAGGTCAAGGTTAACTAGAGTTCATCTAGAAGACTTAAAGGAGAACTATGAGGTGAGCGAAAATCACTCATCCTCATAGTTTGAGCCGACCTGTGACAATGAAACTGTTACAGGTCGGCTCAATAGATCGGGAAGTGAGCGAACACATACCGTCGCTCGCTCACTTCTCAATCCTGTCCCTGCAGAGAGCCGTGACTGTCACTCACGGCTCCCTGCAGGGATTCCCCCCCCCTCTCCGATCCTCCAGCGCTGACTTGCGGAACGGACGGGGGAGGGGGCGGGTACAGCTGGCTCTGCCTCTAGATAGACAGAGCCAGCTGTCACTCACGCAGCTGGGTGTCTCCAGACAGTAATGTCTGGATCCATCCCGGCTGAGGCGTCTCAGTAAACCGTGAGCTGTAGTTCACGGTATACTGAGCTTTGGGTGATGG